TTGTTTGTGTCTTTTTTTCTGTGAAGGTACACTCAGAATCGTACTTGAGTAGTCTGAAGGAAAGTTCAAATGTTGCTAGGATAACTGAGGTATTTTCTTGTTTTCTCTCTCTTAATTGCGGGGTATATTCAAGTGTGAAGTCCCACAAGGGATAGGATGGGATGAGTGGAAGCCTTTAAGTGGAAAAGACTTATGAAACCATTGCCTTAAGGGAGCATTGAGCAGCTACCAATTTGTTATTGGAGATTAGGATTACAAACTCTTACACTCTCAAGAACACCTCTTTGGGTTACAGAATACATGTATATATAGTCTGCTACCTGGACCCAATACATAACCCTAAAAGTCCATAAAACAAATCCAGTTATTTGACAGTGCTGTCTCGATCCACGGCCATGGTGCCAGATATGGCCAGGCTGTGTATCCTCAATTGTGTCATTCCATGCCCTGGTTGTCACCAGGTCCATGGTTGTGGTTGCTCAGACCGTGGACCTCTCTGGAAGTCTACCTCCTGGCAAGCTTCGAGAACACAACCGTTTCTCCCCACACGATGAGGCTGTGATTCACATCCTTCCTATGAGCCATACTAACATTAATATAAAATAAGAAATCCTTCAAGAGAAAGAGAATACAAATATAAAAGAAGAGTCAAACAGGGAACAGAAGACATCAATGTAGCCAAATGCCTAATTTTATCCCAAAGATGTGCCTGAAAAGATATCCGAAAATGTGCAAGAATTAACTCTACCAAAATGCACTTGCTGCAAAATATGCACATCACCATAAAAATTTGGCCTCTTTATTTCAACCATAATGAATAAAATTGGTCATAAAAAACTGATCCAAAAGCTTAGGACACACCCAATATGCTCCAAAAAACCAAATGAAGAATTCCACAATGTAGTGGCAGTAGAACAATGTAAGAAAAGGTGACTAACAGATTCTGAACTTGCACTACACATCACAAACATATGTCTTGAGAAATTGACAATTGTGTAGGATTTGTACCAAACCCATTTATTTACCTTCTTGTTGTATAGACATTATGATCTGATGTGGTTGTGTTGGAATGCTTTGAGCAATTATTTCTATTATTTTACCATTCATTTTGAGAATGGTGTTTGTTGAGGCTTTATGCAGTTGACATACTAAAGAATATTTACTCATAAACTTATGAAGTATAGGTCGCTCCCGTGGCATTAGTACCCAATTTTCTGGTGCAACAAAAAGTTCTTTTCCCATTCAGGAAGCAGGTGAAGTAACTATTTTTCTTGAAGTCTCTTCAACTTTTCTGAAAAATAGATCTTACTCCTATTCTGATGGTAGGTTGGAGGAACTATATTAGCTGCAAAACTTGCAAAGGAGAGAGGATGGGCCATTAATGTAGGAGGAGGCTTTCATCATTGTTCTGCAGAAAATGGAGGTGGATTTTGTGCTTATGCAGATATTTCTCTGTGCATCCACTTTGCTTTTGTGCGTTTGAATGTATCAAGGTACTATCATGTTTGGGCTTTACAGTTACATGTTAGCATATGCTATTAATACATTGTACAAATAAGCATTATTTTCCAATTGTCTGCAAAATCTTCAGGGTGATGATTATTGATCTAGATGCACATCAAGGAAATGGTCATGAAATGGACTTTGCCAATGACAGTATGTCCAAAACATTTCTGCTCCCGGTGTTTGACTTCATATCTTTTAGCATTTCCACTAATATAGTGGCTTTGTAATGGCAGAACGAGTCTATATCCTGGATATGTACAACCCTGGAATATATCCTTTGGTAAGCTATCTGCTCCTTGATTTGTTATGTGTTCTTTTTCTTTCACTTTATGAAGTGTTTTTTTAATCAATCTCTCATTTTTCACATTTGCTTCATTTATGGGAAAGGTCCAAAGATTCATATGTAGGTGGTCTATTAGAAACAGTTAACTGTTATTCACTTTTAGTTTAGACTATGCATCTATTTTGAATAATTTTGTTAGCTTAGGGCTAACTGGCTACAATCTCTTACCACTTCCTTTCCGCCTTCTATATTAGGATTATGAGGCAAGGAACTACATAAATCAGAAAGTTGAAGTGAAGGTATGTTCGTTATGCTAGTTAAAACCTAGATCATATTTGCTTTCCTATTTGCCTGACAAGAAGTGTTTTTTTGTCTGAACTTTCAGAGTGGGACACTTACAGAAGAGTACCTGCAGAAATTAGATGAAGCACTTGAGGTATATCACATTATGATTGTACACTTTATTTTTCTCTTATATTTTGGCTTGAGTATCTATTGCAAAATCTTGCATTGCTATATCCTACCCAAGTATCCAACCATATTACTCTCGTTTTGTCACTTTTTTGCTTAGTGTTTGTTTTGTTTGTGATGCCAGCATGTATTACCTTCCCCCCTCTTTATTTTAAGCATCCAAACAAGGGGAAGGAAAATAATCATTTAACTTCCCAATTCCATCCTTCCATTCCCATTATTTTTATTCTCTTCCCTTCCACTCTGAAATCCTAGAATTGTGTTGGAGACCCTATATCCAGGTCCTTTTACTTATTTTTCTTTTGTTGTCAATGTGATGATTCAAGGTTGCCAGGCATAGGTTTGACCCTGAGTTGATAGTTTATAATGCTGGAACGGACATCTTAGAAGGTGACCCATTAGGAAGGTTGCAGGTAATGTCATTCTTGAATTCATTTTATTGCAATAAAAATATAAACTTGTTAATTGCATGGTCATTTACTCTTGGTCTGTAGTTTCTACATGAAAAGAATGGTTCATTATTATGAATTAGGTGTTTTAGATGATTGTTTTATTACTTATTACTTATTACTTACCTTAGCTGGTGTTTGCGCTATTTTGTACATGCAGATCAGTCCTGAAGGGGTTGCCCTTAGAGATGAGAAAGTATTTCGGTTTGCTCGTGAGAAAAACATTCCTATCATCATGCTCACTTCAGGTATGCTATTTCTTTCCTACCTCTCCTAATCCTTATGGGGACATTACGGTATTAAGTTGCAACCATGAAACTTATTTAACAAAGGACTCCGTCATACATATCATATACTGGTCGTATCTGGTGCATCTTACTCCTGATCTTTTTAATTCTGCATGTTGCAAAAAAGAATGGAAAGCATCCTGATTTTGGTCTATTTTTTTTGCATGACTTCTGAGACATGGTTAATAATAGGATGTTTGCTATGACCCTTTGTTGTAAGGTAAAAGGAATAGGATATGATAGTTAATTATTCATATTTGATAAAATATTTTTTATTGAATGATTCTAGAATGTTATTATGTTGTAAGATGATAACACTTGGATGGATATCATTATGTTAGGTTTCTTTATTCTCCTTTTAATAGTGTATTGTTCATCCATTACAATCAGTCAATGAATGAAATATGAAGATTGTAGTGTTTAGTTTATCTTCTTAGCTTATCCTTTTATTAGGAGTAGAGTAATTATACAATGTTCTTGGTGGATTGGTATTAAGACTCTCGACATAAGTGTTGTCCCACTGCTCACCTTTGCAAAAACAAATTAAAATATTTCATTTTTCCTACTATGTTACAACTTTGATTTTAGAAGGTAAATGCCCTATTGAAAAGTTATAAGTGTTGTGAATGCTTGAAATATGTTATTACATTAGTCTCACATCACATAGTATTGGAATAGAGTAGAGTAACCAAATGTTATATATTGGACTCAAATCCCTTGTTGTAATGTGCACCAGATATAAGCACCAAACAGAAACACTCCATGGACACTTGGGCTCATAGGTGTAATAGGGTTTGTAATCCTTATTCTCTAATAATATCTTGGTAGCCGCTCATCGCTCCCGGGGACGTAGGCACAATTGGCCGAACCTCTTTACCAAATTCTTTGTTTCTTCTCTTCAATTTATTCTATGCACTTTATTTGATTGCTTGTGATCAACGTTGCGCAACGATTGCTTCCGCTGCACCAACAATAAGCAACCTAATGTTGGGTATATTCATATGAGGGATGAGTAAAAGAGTTTAAGTGGAAAAGACTCGAGGCTCATTGTCGACTTTGGCTCAAAATGTAGTGTCTTACTTATGGGGCTGTGAGGTTGGAGGGTCTCCGCTCGCAGACAGGTCCAACACCTAGTGCTATAAACCTCCCATTATGCATAAGTGAAGGGAAGGGTTGGACTTGAACCAACTATGTCGTTCCATGATAGCAGGCTAGGAGCTTTACAAGAGGCTAACCCCTTGACCTTTGGCCTTTGGATCATATAGTGACAACTCCAACTGCTTTGCCAACCTCCCCTTGAAAGCTTCTTAGAAACTTTGATTCACTTAAATCTGATCATTTGATAGTATTTAATACATCAAAATGTGATGAATCGGTTGTAAATACAAGACACTAAAACATGTGTATATCATCTTGGCTTAACATTGAACCTTCTCTAACCTAATATTTTCCCACATTTTATGATGGTATCGGGGACTATGCTATTTGGTTTTGAGGGTTTTCCCACACCCTGGATTTATTTGGAAAAAAACATGTATGTTATTTACAGATGGTATAATTATGCCTTAACCTTGGCAACTAATTATTGAGATGACATCATTCTTAAATGACCCATGTGACAGCTTTTCTGGAACTTTTGTTCTATCATTTTCTCAGCTAGTTATAAAATGCTTACCAGCTTTTATGCATATGTTATTCCATGTTTCAGGCGGTTACATGAAGTCCAGTGCTAGAGTCATCGCAGATTCAATAGTCAATCTCTCAAAGAAATGCTTGATAGAAATAAACGACAGTCCAAAGGCTTAAGACTACCCAATAGTTCTGATCTAATGGATGTGCACTTCCACCTCAGATAAGTATTCTGTGAGTGTCTAACCTTGTAAATTGTGTATCATAAAACTATTTCCAGGATTTGAATTCGATAAAAAAATTCCGTTGCCGGGAATCGAACCCGGGTCTCCTGGGTGAAAGCCAGATATCCTAACCGCTGGACGACAACGGACTTGTTTTTTATATCCAAATATATAGGATATAACGACGCCTTAACTTGTAAACTATGTATTTGGTGAGTTTAGTAAATTTGTTGATGGACTCATGAAAACATTTCATGGGGTGATTGGAAAATGGTACCTGTCAGATTTATTAAAGTATTTTGTTGGGAATTTCAATTTTAAGTTGGAAAATAAGCTACCTTCATAAATAAATATCATGCATAAAGGAAGGTACAATACTATACGCTATTCAAATATTCAATGGGTTGCATGTGTAGCTTGAATCTCAAAGGTAGCTCAAACTTTATATAAAGCAATCTATGCGTTGAATTTTTACTTCATTTAGTTGAAAGGAATGTGCCAATGCACCTTATTCTTCAATTGAATTATAACGGAAGTTATGTGTCTAAAGTGAAGAGGTTTAAATAAAAACAATATAAATTTTCAGTAAAATACGACGTGGCTGAAATATTTACATAATTACATCATAACACCATGTAAAGTGATTGTATCACTTAAAAAAAAATCAGTCACATTGTATCCATGGTTTTGCCGTGTGATTGTGTGATGCTGGAAATTCTTCATATTGGGTTAAGTGGATCATGCCTCTTTAATGTGTAGTCTCATTGCAGAAATTAATTTCTTCCGATATAATTATAAACTATATAAGACATGATTCTATTATTTTTTATACAACAGTAATTATCTTGTGTCTACTTATTTAATATAACATTTTCCTCTCCCTTGAAACTTTTGTTAATACTCTATCACACATAGAAGATTGTGTATTGTAGTTGTGTGACATCTTTCTCTCAAAATACTCTATCATTTCATCTACTCAACATGAATTAAGTGATTTTTATCTCCCTCAATTTTCCTACTGTGAGGAAATTATATGAGTATTAAACCGAGAGTGCATTTGTAATTTAGTGGAGAGGTGGAAGTGATGGTGATTGACAATATTTTTTTATTTGAATAGTTTCGTGAGAGAATTAAAAAGTGAGATGAATGTAACAATGATATATTGAATAGTTATCATAATCGTTTGAATAAAAAAATTGATGGGATATAAAAATTATATCACGTGATATACTCATAAAAACCTTAACAATGATGTAAAAATGTAAATATTAATATTTTAAAGGTTTTTTTCTAGCAGATATCCTTCACCCTATCCATTTACCTTTATATGATAGTGGATATTGTAATTTTTAGTCTAAATTTCTATTATTATTTTAGGCAATAACCAATTTAGTTTTATATGTAACAAGTGTTCTTTAATAAAGAAATGCGCTCCATGTACCCCAAAAAAAAATTCTCCGAGTCATGAAGTTTACATTGAAACAATACCATCTCTTACAAAAAGAACTTTTTTTTTGTAGCCTCAAATCCGAATTTATTCCCAAAAAGCTATTTATATTTTATAGTATACCACCCAAATTGGCTTGACAGGACAAAACAAAACCGCTGAGAAAGAAAAAAATTGACAACCCTTCCCACAAAAACAGGCAAAAAAAGTTGGGAGGGTATCACGTGTAGTTATCTGAATTCCAGCACATAATTCGGAGGGGAGCATATATGGTATTCATATTTTATACTTCATATATCACTAGTTAGAAGTTTAATTATCAAATATTTTTTTTACCACCATATAGAATGACATAACTTAGCAATACGCCTAACTATCAAGTATATACTTAGAATATTGGTACACAATTTATTAAATAAGATTGTAATATTTTGCTGAACACACATATATATATATATATATATATAAGAGTGATCCATTTACTCCAAGAGTAAGTTTAAATCTTCTAACTAATTCTAACCAACTAATGGCTGAGACGTGAAGTAAGTTTTTTAATATAATTAATAGTTTTTTTACTCTTGGAGAGTAATTGAATCATCTCTCATATATATATAAATATTTGTACATCTAATAAACTTTTTTGGTACTATCGATAATATCTTTTACTCTATGAAAAATGAATTAATCTCTTTTAAGTGCAATGACACCGTAAAATAATACCTAATAAAGTTTGGAAACTTAAATGTATAAAATATATTACCATTATTGCTGAGATTTTCCATTGCACAGACAGCAGATATTTCTACTTATAATTTGGAAAACATTAAGTATATATTTATACATTATTTATTTAGAAAAAATATAATACACCCCTACCCCTTTTTTCTTATATTTAAGTTATGACTAAAATGCAAAAATTGAAGATTTAGAAAAAAAGATTAATACCCACACAGCGCAAACAAAGGCACCGTAGTCAAAACGTCAAGATGTGACATAACAATAAAAATAGATTTTGGATCAATTTCTTTTCTCCTATTGAATAAGAGAACATGGAAATATACAACTTTTTATATGCTGTTAGTGCCTTTATAACTAATTTCCCAATGGGATTATACTTAAGTGAAAGATATTGATGACTCGTAATGATATATTGATGAATTTTTTTACATACTACATAAAAATTAAACTATACTTAATAACTTTGATATTTAATATAAAAATAACATAAGTTTTTTTTTTGTATTACAAAATAGATGAAGAACCTTTCTGGAAGAATCTAGTGTGGGATGAGATTGTGACATGTGGAAAAAACACTTTATTGCCATAATTTAATGTTATTTTTTAATAATAAAATAAAAATAATTTAAAAAAATTTCCTCATCTTATTCCAATACTAGGATTTAATGTTATTTTTCAAAAAAATTCCTCATCTTAATCGAGTATCCACCTCTCGACTGAGTTGAATAAGGAATTAATCATCTTTAGAGTATATGATTGTTCATCCGAACTTATATAGCACACGAAACTAGGGATGACAATGAAAATCGAACTTGTGGTTACCCCGCTTGAATCTAACCTGAATTTAACAGGAAAAACCCGATATAATTGGGTTCAGGTTTTATCCGAGTTCAAATTTTAGGTTTGAATTTGATATTGTTAATACCCGGATGCGATCAATATATATAAAATTATATTATCACACATAAATACATATATAAAAGCTATATATATATAAATTTCATATATATATATATATATATATAGCTTGGGTTACCCGAAATCCGATTAGTTCGGAGATTCTAACATCTCTTAATTCGAGTTCATAGTTGGGTAAACGCAAAATCGATCTCAATTCATCCGGTTGCCATTCCTATGCACTAAACACATTTAGGTAAAAAAAAAAGTGATAAAGAAGATATAATAACATATATTCTTTTGAATAATACACCTCTCTACTAATATAGCAAAAATAATGAATCGATCCTTCATCACACACTCCTTGTCCTCTTCGGTCACCGTTTATTCCACTTATTAACTGTGCCTCTCTCTCTCCGGCGAAGTGTGCCGTGACCTAACGCCGGCGATAAGCCACCACCGTCGTCGCATTCAGTGTTCGATACTAACCTGCGCCGGTGGTAGCAATGAGATCATCCAACGGTGCTTGTGATTTTCACTTGGTTTTAGCATCTATTCTTCTCATTCTCTTCCACGTTCTCCTTCTTCTACCTCATTCCTCCCTCGCTATTCGACCCGCTGACTCGGATCTGGTTCAACTCGTTAACGCGACCGTGTCGTCCAATGTTTCCAAAAGCAACAGCTTCGCCGACATGATTGATCGCGCTCTCGAGAACGAGTTCCCCGAGAACGATCAAAACGAAGGTTCTACGTTCTTCTTTTGATATTCTATTCAATTTCCGAATTGGATTTTTCATTTAACTTCATTATTTAATTTAATTAAAAAAAAATTGTTCAGTTTATCGATCTGATCTATAAACACGTGTTGTTATTGGATTACATTTTGCTATGGAAATAGCAGATTCGTTAAATTCATGTTAAGAACACAATCATTGTGTTGCATCTTTTGATTTATACTTCATTTTTTATTTTCATTCTATTTCTTATTACTACTTTTAGTTGTGTATATTTTGAAATCAATAGAAAATCTAAATTGTGTTGAGTGTTAACCAAAGCATATTGTCTCGAGTGGCAAGAAGCTTGATTCCCCTTAAGCAAGGCCTCAGACCTTGGATTCGAGTCTTGTGAATATAAACAATTGACACTGGAATAGCTTTGTCATGTTTCCTTTCTCTACTCGATTAATCGGAGTTTGAAGTGATTTATGAGGATCTCGAACAATTTTTTTAGAATCCATGATTTTAGTTTTTCCGAATAGGATATAAAAATGAAGAAAGGTAAGATCTATTTTAACTTTTAGCTTGTTCTTCTGCCCCTTAATGGCAGCAGTACCGGATGCAGGAGGCTTCAACAACAGTGTAGCAGAACAACAGGTTGGTTTGCTACCATAACCCTTGATTTCAAATAATGATATACTAGTTTTTTTGAATTAGATATTGTAAACTTTAATTTAATTGAAAGATTTATTATTTCATGTGGTTAGCACTGAATATGGTTTTGTTCTCCTGTCAATATAGTTTCATGGTATATTACATAATTCTATGAGCTTGATAATATGCTGAGTTTCTCTTCCTGCTTTATTTGTGGATCAGGCTGTTCTGGAAACTGTGGCCAGAGTCAAGTCAAAGAAGAACGACACAAAAGATGATAAGTATGAATTTAAAGTTGTACATTAGTACTTTAAGTGTTTCCCCAATTACTCAAATTGGTTGTTTGATATGGTGCATTTGATTTAGGACACAGTTTTGTTTGTATGTCTCGCTAAGTGTGTTTCCCCACCCTGAACTTATAGGTCATTTCAGCTTCATGATGTATTCAACAGTGACAATGGAGCTGAAGAGACTCCGAAGTTGATAGATCGAAAGGTGAGATAGCTAAATGGTATTTTCACCTTTTCTGGTATTCAGTTAAGTTTTGAAAATTCTAAGTCTATAAATTATTCATCTTCTTTCAGGACAATGTCTTTATAATTTCTAACTTTAAGTCCAAGTATCCGGTGCTGCAGCTAGATGCACAGTAAGCTTATTTTGCTTTCTGTCTTCAGCAAAAGATTGATTATATTACTGATGAGAACTTCTTTCAATACTGCCGTATAGATTGATTTCAGACCTGGTAGTTGCTATTGTTTCGGCAACATGCGGTGGCATTGCGTTTGCTTTTGCTGGACAACCGGTCTGAATTTTCTTGTTCTAAGCTTAATTCTTGACAAATGCTATC